TCCATGGAGCTCCAATGTCTAGAAGATTCATCAGTGTTAATGGGTGGTGGTGATCTTAAAAAGGTTTAAGTTGCTGGGGTCTTCTGAAACTCACATCTGTTGTCTTTAGTGAAATATGGAAAATATGTTCCCATTGCTTCTATAGATACGGTGCTGTTATTTCTCCTGTCATTCTAAGGGAGACAGCTTACTATCTTCTACCCTGGCTTATGAAACCATTTACTGGACACTAATACAAGAGGAAGGACCTATGAACTACATACCTTTGCCTGGGGAGCGCAGGGTGAAGTCCTGCCTCCCCACGCTAGCCCCAGTTTCCCCAAGAATGGGGCATGCTCTGGTACCTGTAGAATATCAGTGGATCCTGCATTTGAAAGGGAAGTAGCGTTATCTCACGGTGAAGCTGGAAGTTGCTAAGAAATACCTGCCTCATAGGATAACTTCTTGCTGTATTTTGCCGAACTTCTGAGGCAACGAGCCTCATTAATGGGTTGAGAGCAGAAGTGCAGAGACTTTTTAAATGCTTTGATCAGGCAGAAAGGTTTCCTCTGAAAACTGCAGCAAATCATCAGGGCCAGAGGATCGGGGTCCTCCATGCTCTTACTTTGAGACTAGAAGCTGAAATGTGGCAATAGAATTTAATATACATTATATCAGAGTTTCTTTATTCTATGTGTATGGCATCAGTAAAAATTGCTCTTAGTGAAATTTGTGTCATGACTTTTGGCGAGGATATTTTGTTTTGTTTATGGGGCATGTCCTTTACTGGTGAATCTTGTAAAAAATAACCTGTATTGATCAAACCGTGACAATATAAAACTCATGGACTGGACAAAACTGTGCAAACTTTTAGCCATTGTTACATAAACAATGTAAACTACTGAAAACTTTAAACAAGATTACAATAAACATGTGGGCCCATGCCATACAGTGTGGCATGAAGATATGTGTGCTTTACTAGTCAAGCATGTGTACAAGCAGGATTTCTACTGGTAGCCTTCGTGCAGAGACATAAAATATGCTAGAAGAAACTATAATTTGTCATTGTAGAGATGAAGGAGGGATCCCAGAATCCACTGATTTCAGACAACTGCCTGTACCAGGAGCTTTAAGAATGTACAGGCAGTCCCCGAGTTACGCGGATCCGACTTATGTCGGATCCATACTTACGAACGGGACTTTTCTCGCCCCGGAGGATGTGGGCGGCGGGCCCGCCGCCCCCGTCCTCCGGGGCGA